ACGTACCCATTTAAACAAAGCTAACATTTGTGGAATTTAATCTCGTTGCTGGGATAGGTGAGAAATTTGTCTATATGACTAATACGAATTCGTCAAGCTATGAAAGAAACTCAGGTTCCAAAAGTTGGTCGGAGAGACCATCATCTTGAATTAAGGGTTAACGGTTTTTCGGCGTCAACTGATTAAGTCGCTAAAATCTAGGCATGATCTTGAGGTTTGGCCTTTCGTCTTCGTGGATAGGTTTAAGGTTCTCTAGATAAGGTGTTTGGTTGGATAAATTCCTAATCGGTAAACTTTCGTAATTAAGTTATCTCAAAGATGTAGGATTTGTTCGAAAAGACGCAAAGAAAACTAGTGTAGTATGAGAAAATGGATTGATGGTATACTTCACTTCACCATTTGGTGATATCCCAGGTAAAATTTAGAGAAATGATGCCAGAGATGTATGTCCTCGAAACGTACTATACTACTTCCTTGCACTATGCCAAGTGCTAATAGGTCTTCACAACTTTCTTGATACTCAATTCATTATAATAGTGAGAAATTAATTCGTACTTTGATTCTACTGTTTACCTGTGGAAGTGATCAAAAAGGTAGCTAGTCGAAGAGGTTTTGTTTACCTAGATAGGTGATAAGGTAAAAACAACTATGAGTTTATTGTCCTAATATAAAGCTTGCTCCTAAGTTTCCATGATTTAGTTTCTTTGGCTCAGGTAGTCATTGTTATTTAATCTATCAGTCGCACATTTTATTTTGATATTGTTCACTACCCTAAAACTGTGAACCGACGTTCTGGCATAAGGGTATCACTCACAGATACTAGCATGTGTCCATTATCAGAAATCATACCGCCTGAATACTAGTTGACAATTCCAAAATATCGGCTAATATCGTCAATTAGTAGTGCCATTGTAGGCTGATTACAGGTTAGAGCTCATTTGGGTGGATGGTTTCGAATGATTGGTAAGGAACTAGTCCTGTGAGATGGTTCATTAATTCTAGGGAAATACTTACTACTTCGGGGATTTCTACTGACTGTAGGTATAACAACTTGTGCACATGTGCCTATGCTCATGGAAATGACGAGTTCAGCACCAACATAATTTCTAGAAATTGGTATTGGTTAGAATGTCCTAAAGTCGGAAAAAGGAATTTGCTAATAATTTACTTTAGAAGGGACTTAAACGGAAGTCGATCTTCCTCTTAAAGATCCGAAATGATTACTAGTGCGCTTGAAAAGATTAGTGCTATCGAGGACTAAAAGTGATTGTCCTTAGATGTTCTTCCGTTGAGTGCTACCACTTTAGCACCACATTGTCACTCGAGACATTTCTAGAAATCTCAACGAAAGTAAACTTCGTAGGAATTTTGATACATGGTATACTAATGGATACTACCAAGGAATCAAGGCTATTCTGGTTTTCTAACTTGAAAGGATTGGTAAAGATGACGAGATAATAGTAGTGGGATTGAAGAGTAAACTCTTCGATGGTACATAATTTTCGACACAATATCCCTGATTTAGGGTCACAAACTTGTCTCCAAATTGGGATTTTCCTTGGCAGTAAGGTTCTTTGTATAACGTCTAGAGGTAGTCGTTGAAATGTTCTTCGAGAACGTTGATAAGTCATTTAAAATGCCAAAAACTTTGGAAAAGTTAACACATTTTTTCGTATTCAACGAGGTGGCAAGATTCGACAATTAGGTTCAAGAACCAAGAATGCTTACATCATGCGTGTAATGAACGCAATACTGCCCAAACTTATGCTCTGATACCAAACTAACACACCCCGATCCGGAATGTCCACTAGGACTCCGAATCGAGCCGTGCTGGCCAACACCTGAAAGGTGACGAAGCCACAAAATGTAGTGTAGTGGAATATGTGAATAAATTTAAACATAAAAGTGCCAGAGTATAAGAGTGCGCTAGTGAGCGGAAATGAACCCATATCACACGTAATGTCAGAGCATAAGTAAACTACAGTAGAGTGTATTGAGAATTATATCATCGGAGGTAGTCTCCAATACCATATTTGCCAAGAATCCTCATCGATACGAAAGCTTAGCTACTAAACCTGGAGGGGCACAAAAACAAAGCTGAGTGGTCCTAAAAATAAAGCTTTGTAAAAACCTTTTCGAAAACATAATAACCCCTCGCCGTAAAACAAGTATAGTTTTCAAAATATACATACTAAGTATGGTAAGAAAATACTTACCGTAGCCTGCAGTATCTCGAAGATTCAATACGTCACAATATTTCGTAAATAAGCACATGACGTCCGTAATCAACATAATCTCGCATAAGCAAACATCTCATATCGAGTGCTAATTGACACATGCTGACACACGAGTTTATGCAGAGGTATTCTGACATGAACATGACTAAGTGTAACAATGATATGCGCTCTAGTACAACAATCATGTGAAGACTGGCGCTGTATGCAGCATATACGAGTCCTAAAATAGGGTGAATTGAATCTTAATTGTTAGTTGTTGTCGTGTATGATGATATTCCCTAGTGATGACTCAAGTTCCAAGCTAGTCCGAACTAGTCTTATTTTCATTAGTTCGTACTTGCACTAAGCTTGAGACTATTGTCTCCCTTAAGACAATCCCACCTAGTAACATGTAATGAACAGAGGCCTAAGAATTGTAAAAGATGACCGACCTACTCGGTGCGATCGAGTTGGTTTGGGAGGAAGGATTGTCAAACCTTGATCATAAATTGATTGACCTTGCTATTGAACCAATTTAGACACCCGTGTAACGGATTGTTGTTGAAGTCAACACAAATAGGAACAGAAAGCTGATAAGTAATAAATAGGGGTGTGCTATCCACATCATTTTTTACTTCTCACACACCTTTTTAATTTTCGGCCGTCGGATCGGATGAATTGAATAAGATCAAAGGACTTAAATTAATAAGAGGTGTGTAAGAAGTAAAAAATGGTGTGTGGATAGCACATCCCAATAAATATTTGCATAACTCGTTTTGCACGTGTGAATGAATTACATATTAAGAAATATTAAGAAGACTATTTGAAAAATGAGATTCTCTATAGACTTTCTGCTATATCATGTTTTTTGCACAGTGTTTTATAAAGTTAGCACGAGAATTGACATTAAACTGTGAGGTAACAGAAAGTCCATAAAGAGTTACACATTGCGAGAGTCTTCTTAGCATTTCTCTTACATATTTTCAGAAGATTCCAAGTAAAACATGGATTAGTTGTCAACACGTTTCCTTATTTGATGTTTCATGCAAAGATAATCTTAGGGAGACTAAATTTATAAACAAAATTTAGTAAATTAAATGATATGGAAGTTGATGATCAAAATATTATCTAGACATTGATAAACATGCTCATTCTTATTAGTGATACATTATTTAGTTTGTAAATTTTATATACAAACTTAATCTTTCTAGCCTGATCCATCATGCAAAGCCCCTTTTATCCTTATAGCTATTGTGGGCTAATTTTTGAACTGATTCTTATTTGAACTCTTTGCCCAATACCCACACCTATTAGACAAAGAAGATGGATAGGATTGAATCACCCTCCCTGCTATGCTATGTATCCATTCATGTTTCCAACACCCTTTTTTTTATCTTCCCTACTAAAGTTTTAAAGAGTATTTATCTTTGCACTTAAGGTTTAGAGTCAGATTGTTCCTTCTGGCTATTAAGTGGGTAAAAAAAGAAAGTTTTTAAATTTTGATCCTCTAATTTGTTTAATAGTAAGAAACCAATAACTACATAACCATCCTAGCCCACACGAACTTTGTTGTATATCGTTTGTTTTGCTGACACCACTTTGGCTCTCTTGACCCTTTCATTTCTCAATCATTACGAATAATAAGGTCATAGTTTATCAAAAAATTTATACAAGCGATATCATCAAGGAGAATTGAACTCAAGGTTTCAAGTACATCTGTCTATCTCGTATTTATATTCTTCCAATTAGAAAAATGTCTAATGAGTGTATATATGCAGTGTAACTCAAATGAACTAAAGCTACTTAAAGCCCAACCCCAATTTGTACACCGAAAAAAGGTCCAGCCCCTAACTGCAACTTGTTGGGCCCAAACCTAAAAGGCTCGGTCAAAGTCGGCCCACTACAAAAACACATGGCCCTTGTTTATTGGGTCGGTAAATTCCTCAAGTCATATCGTAGAAAAGTAGTGGAACCCAACCCTGTCGTCGACGTAGCAACGCGTTAGCTGCCCCACCACCATAAAGTAATACAATAATCTCCAGCACCCACTCCCAATGGAACCTCCCTCCAGTCCCCACCCAATCCCTTGCTTCATCGAATCAGAAGGTCCCACGTAGCAGGGAAAGTGAGGGAAGCATGGCAGTTGCGTAAATTTAGCAAGCACTGGGGTCAAAGACCCCCGTGAAATTATCTAAAATTTGTGTAGAGTTTGGACTGTGGTGTGTCACACGTATGCTTTGTGTCAACGAACGCCAAATGAGATTCAAATGCAGCCAAATTTCTAGCTCAAGAGAGAGAAAGAGGAGGATAACTTACTTGTAGTTATTAAAATATCGATATTAATGGAAGTATCGATATGTAAATTTGACGAATATATTCAGATATATCGAATATAGATATCAATTTAGGTTGCTTTGGATGAAAATAATGAAAATTTAAAACGAAATTTTAAGGATTGTCAAACATTAGTTTTGACGAAATTTAAGAGTTTATTCGATATCTAACTGATATGTCAGAAATATTGACGATACGTATCGATTTCAGCCTAAATATAAGAGTTTTTACGATATGAGGTGAAGTTTCACCTCCCATTTCTATAATTTTTTTTATTTTTTTAATATTTTTATTTATTATCGACTGTATTAAAGAAATTTTAAAGACTACATACATGTCACATGTAGACTGCTATACGGATGATAATAAAACAACGAAATATTAACAAAAATGTACAATATCGTTGCTATATAGATACGAAATGTTACTATAACAGTATATTCGTGCTGTATCAACGATTTCTTGAAAGAGGAGAGAGAGTTGAGAGAGCTTTCCCTGTTTTGTGAAGGGTTGTGAGTGAGTGTCTGAAAAAATAAAAAATAATATTTTTCGTAATACTGCTGATGCCACTGGTGCTTGCCTCCAATCATTTGACTCTATTTTTTAATTTTTTTTCCCCCAATTTTTAATGTTTTTATAGTTTCGGAGTTCCTGTTATTACAATTTTGGATTGTGCTGAGGAGCAATTTTCTTACATTTTCTCTCTGGTTTCTCGGCGAACGAGAAGGAAGTGGAGGAGTAGAAGAAACATATATCTCTGCTTGTACGAAACTCCCACGCGCACTTACACACATACTCGCTTTCTCCTCTCTAGAATTCCATGATGATCATGACAAAGAGCTCTGAAATCAGTATTGCCAGATAACCCAACTCCAATGGACTCTCTCTAACTGCTGTTTTTGTCTCTACTCTCTCTCTCTCTATAAGGTACTCTCTCTCTCTAGACTCCTTGTATTTCTCTACTCTTTCCCTCTCCTGAATTGGTTGAGGTAATTCAAATTTGGGGTTTTTTGTTTTTGGGGTTTTTTTTTTCCTTGCGATTTTTTTGAAGTTTTGGGATTTTTGATGTGATTGGTTGATGATATTGCATGTGGGTTTTTCTATTTTTGTCAAATTAATTTTGCTATTGAGGGATAGTTGGTTAATTTGAAGCTAATTTTGGGGTTCTGAAGTGGGTAGGTGTAGAAAAAATTTCAACATTTAAGTCCATCTGTTGAATTTGCATGCTAGATTTGAGTTTGGAACTTCGTTTACTTGTTACCCAGTTGAATTTTTGAGCTACTTTAGCAGTTTCTTCGTCTTAATTTGAAAACAATCTGATCATGTTTGACTTATCATTTTGTTTTTGGGGTAATCTGTCAAGCTGGTAATATTTTTACCCCATCAATTCGAAAACTTGCATGGTTTTTGATACACCCTTTTGATATTGGTGGAGAAATCTGTAGTTATATCAATCGATCCGATCGTCGGTAATTCTGGTGGATGTTTGATTTTAGTGCTGCTGGATACTTGGTCCTTTGATTATATTCTTCTCTGCATGCATCTTAAATTTGTCGGTATATTTTTTCGTAGATTGTTTATTCATCAATTTGTAAGTGTACTAAAGAGAGCAAATGTATTATTTACCTCTTCAAGTTTGATAGTTCTGACATATATGTGTTTATATTCTGATGCTCTTCTGGTTTTTCTTGGTTAAAATGAAGATTAATTATTGATGCTTTCCAATTTCTGTTGTGCTGAGTCACATTATGTTGCTTGCTTTGTTGATTCAACAAATAGAGAAACACTGTGGAACTTAGCTGAAGTCTTTGCTTTTGGAGTTGTGAAGTCAGCTATAAATTATGTTAAAATCCTAATGAACATACGGAGCACGTCAATGAAATATACGGAGCAACATGATTGGGATTCAGGACTACCTTTACCTTGTTTTAGTCACCAAAACGACTTTTTTAACCACGCACTTGAACTCAGGATAAACTTCACTGATTTCTTTGTTTTTTTTTTTTTTTTTTGCACCATATGGACTTCTGTATGTATTATTTGTTTGTTAATATTTTTGGATGCATGTGATGCATCTGCATGTACGCACACATGTTTTCTGAACTAGCAAAATACATTTTGAGAGTTTGTTGATAACTGAACGTTATATATTTACTCTCCTTGTTTTGCAGAAAGTGATTCAATGGAGAAACATTTAGGGGATATAATATTTGGTCGTTCTGAAGGTTCCCTCTCTTTTCTTTACTGATGGAAGCATTGCGCAGGCGCATAGCCACGTACATATGCTATATACATATTACATATATTTCCTTATGTATGCTTGATGTTTCTCTTGATAGTCATTTATGACCAATTGTGTAGGGGCCTTCAAGATTCCATCTGCTAATAATCATCATGCATCAAGTGATACTAGCTTGTTTTTGGGCTCATTACCTGTCCTTCCACATGGAAAGTGTACGTGCAAGTTATTTTTTTGATGAAAATGTTATCCCTATCTGTAGAATGGCTGTTGAGGGTTGAGTCTTGATTTTCTGAATATGCAGTGAAATTTCCTGTTTCGGAGCATTTTGGTCAATCTGTTGATGATAGTTTACCCAAATTAAACAATGTTGAACAAGAAAATGAGACTAAGGATCCACTTGAAAACGATGAATCAAAGGCATTCAGGGTCATGCTTCCTGATGATGAAGATGATCTCTTAGCAGGCATAACAGATGATTTTGATCTAATTCGATTGCCTAATCAGCTGGAGGAGATGGAAGAGTATGATCTGTTTGGAAGTGGAGGTGGAATGGAATTGGATTTTGAATCCCAGGATAGCCTCGGTATTGGCATGTCAAAACTAGGCATATCTGATGGGGTTGTTCCAAATGGGATTGGTCATTATGCTCTTCCAAATGGTGTTGGAGCTGTGGCTGGGGAGCACCCGTATGGAGAGCATCCATCTAGAACCTTGTTTGTTAGAAATATCAACAGTAACGTCGAGGACTCTGAATTGAGAGCTCTATTTGAGGTATGCTACTGTGGTAGTCAGTTTTCTATGGGATCTTTGCCTGGTATATTTTGTTTTATATCCTGGTTTTCTATGCGTTGGTTCAACATTGACTTGTTTTCTTTTGGGTGGTTGAGTTACGGGTTGCATTGGAGTTTCGTTTTGGCTCTCTTTGTCTAGTCTATATTGTTGTAACTTGCACTGAAAAAATCACTGACTAATATAGGTTTCGGGTTTAGTGATTAACAGCAATCTTGTTAATGTTAGTAACCTCATTCTCCTACAAATCGGAGTAATGTACTCCCATTCTTCGCTGCAGTCTTTTGTTAGATTATGAATTTGGTACACTGGTCATCCTGCCCTTGCAATCATTTATCTTTTTTCTTTCGGAGAGTTTGCTCTTGGTGTGTGGGAAACAGAAGGTCTCTAATTTGGTATTGGTAGTGTTTTTCTAATTTTTTTTGCCCTTTAAAATAAAAGTTCTTGTAAATGTATTTACAACTTTTCACTCATTCAAAGAACTCTCATTTTTTTCCCTAGCAATTTGGGGATATCAGAACTTTATACACTGCATGCAAGCACAGGGGCTTCGTGATGATATCTTACTACGACATCCGAGCCGCTCGCACTGCAATGCGTGCGTTACAGAACAAGCCCTTGAGACGGAGGAAACTCGACATTCATTTTTCTATTCCCAAGGTTTGAATAAATATCTTCTCTTATATTTGTTCAGGCACTAGTGATTCAATCATGATATTCATAATACATCAGTCCTTTTCCGTGCTGAAATTCAGGACAACCCTTCAGAAAAGGATATCAACCAAGGAACTCTTGTGGTGTTCAACTTGGATGCATCAGTGTCAAATGATGACCTTCGACAGATATTTGGGGCTTATGGGGAAGTCAAAGAGGTAAACTTTTGTGCGAAAATGTTGTCTTTTTCTTATCGTCCTTGAATTGCATGTGCAGTTGTGCACCTTTTCACTGTCTTCATTGGTTGTATAAATTCTGAATTTCCATGAGTAAAATGCAGATCCGGGAAACCCCACACAAGAGACACCATAAATTCATAGAGTTTTATGATGTTCGAGCTGCAGAAGCAGCTTTAAGGGCATTAAATAGGAGTGACATAGCTGGGAAACGCATAAAGCTTGAACCCAGCCGCCCTGGTGGAGCACGTAGAAAGTGAGTATGAATTTACTTGCTGTGGGTTCTGCAACAATTTGACAATTTGAGCTCAGGCATTTTGCATTGCCCTGAATTTATCATCTTAGTAATTACCTAAGAGTCGCAAATAGTGAGGTATAAGGGTTTTCTTGGATCAATTGTGATTAACTATTTGTATTTCCAAAGACAACATTATATCCAAGGGAATATATGTTTTCTTTGGTAGATGGCTGTTTACGTGTCTTCAAGTACTGTCAATCACTGTATGGAATCAGGTTCACTTTGAATACAAGTTTTGTGGTGAAATTTAATCCGAAGTGTTTATGAGAACTTCCTTACATCTAAGGGAATCATATCCAGGGATATACTGTCAAAGGTCTTTTCGATTACTTATTCGATACATAGGTCCTTTGCTATATGTAGCTTATTTATTGCATAGGTCTTGTGCTATATGTAGACTCTCTAGATGCGGCTTCTGTCTTTGGATATGTTTTGACTCCCATCGTGTTATACATTTAACCTTTCTGAATCCGTGCTACACATTTAATGTTGATGTTGTCGTTGAATTGTTAAGCTAGGTAAATAATTAATTCATTGCACTTTCTTTTTTTGTGAAGCTTGATGCAACAACTTACTCAAGAGCTTGAACAAGATGAAACTTGGAGTTTCCGACATCAAGTGGGTTCACCTGTGACCAACTCTCCTCCAGGTAGGTCTCTCAGATCTGAAGCTCAATTATGCTTGTGCTTGTGCTCATCGATTCCTGTATTGGTGGTTTGGTACTTATTGGGAATCAACATCCTGCTCTGAGCTAAAACATTGGCTACCATGACAGGTACCTGGGCGCATATTGGAAGCCCCATTGAGCATAACCAGTATGCTTTTAGTAAATCCCCGGGTCTGGGAAGCCTCAGTCCAGACAGCAACCATTTGCCTGGGTTAGCTTCAATTCTCCCAGCTCATTTGTCTAACTCTCCTAAGATTGCGCCTATTGGTAAGGACCAAGGAAGGGCAAACCATATAAATCCGATGTATAGCAACTCTCCATCAACACAAGGAGCAGCGTATCAGCATTCTCATTCCTATCCAGAGCAGAAATTAAGTGCAAGTCCAGGTCCCATCTCATTGGGCGAGTCAAATTCAACTTCATCAGGGATTGGAACATTGTCAGGTCCTCAGTTTCTCTGGGGCAGTCCATCTCCATCTCCTTATGCTGACCCTAGTTCTTCTGCCTGGCCAACCTTGTCTGCGGGGCATCCATTTTCATCTAGTGGACAGGGGCAAGGCTTTTCATCGACCAGCCGGCATGGCTCTTTTCTCAGTTCACACAACCATCATGTGGGATCTGCTCCATCCGGTGGTGTTCCTCTAGAGAGGCATTTTGGCTTTTTCCCAGAGTCACCAGAAACATCCTTCATGAATCCAGTGTTTGGGGGCATGGGTTTAAGTCGCAACAGTGGGAATTACATGATGAACATGGGTGGTCGTGCAACTTTGAGTGTTGGTGTTGGTCTTCCAGGAAACGTTACTGAAAATGGCTCACCTAGTTTCAGAATGATGTCAATGCCAAAGCATGGTCCTGTGTACCTTGGGAGTGGTTCATATACTGGACCGGCAGCAACCATCAGTGAGATGTTGGCTGATCATGGTAGAAGTCGGCGAATAGAGAATCCTGGGAATCAGATGGATAGTAAAAAGCAGTATCAACTTGATATAGATAAAATTATCAGTGGGGAGGATACTAGGACTACTTTAATGATAAAAAACATCCCGAATAAGTAAGAAAAAAGTTGTAATCAGCCTAGGAAGTAGATATGTGCAACTTTTATTTTTTGTTGGGTTGTGGTTTTGAATACCTTTATCATTCTGTTCTATGTTGTCTTTCTCATATTAGGTACACTTCCAAAATGCTGCTGGCTGCTATTGATGAAAACCACTGTGGTACATACGACTTTCTCTACCTGCCAATTGACTTTAAGGTAATTCTTTGCCCTAATACTGATGCGAGTGCTCTATAATTTTCGCAAGTTGATATGATGCTAATGGAACACGCTTCTCCTTTTTGCAGAATAAGTGCAATGTGGGTTATGCCTTCATCAATATGGTGTCTCCTACCCACATTATAGCCTTCTATGAGGTAGTTTGGTCATTTTAATCCGTTTGTTTGTTACTGGTCAATCCCAAGAACTTTATCCTAATATTTGACTGGCAATACGAGAATGCTTTATAAATTCATCAGTTAGAGTTAAAACGGTTTGGAACACATTTAATATTTATGAGTACTTATACCATTAAAATTGGTGCAGGCATTAAATGGGAAGAAGTGGGAGAAATTTAACAGTGAAAAAGTTGCTTCATTGGCATATGCACGAATCCAGGGCAAAGCTGCGCTTGTGACTCATTTTCAGAATTCAAGCCTAATGAATGAGGACAAGCGTTGCCGGCCAATTCTCTTCCACTCAGAGGGCCAAGAAACTACTGACCAGGTTATATGTTTGATTTATCTGTCTCTGTCGTGCGTTTATGATGCTACTGGCCTTTTCCTCCCCTAATTTTCATAATTCAATCTCAACGTTGACCTGTGCTAAGTCGATTTCTGTATGTTTGTCAATCCTACAGGAAAATTACCTTTCCAGAAATTTGAACATATGTATCCGGCAGCCAGATGGCTCTTACTCAGGCGACTCATTGGACAGCCCAAAGGGGGATCTGGATGAGAAGCCAGAGAACAGTTAACAGTTATTGTTATTTCTTACTCGCCTGAGCGGGGGGTAGGGCTGCTAACTTGTGCATAGTTAAGTGTACAGTGTAGAGAAGGAAGTCAAGCTGTGGGGCGTATAATAACTAAATTATGGCTAGTGTCCGCTTTCGAGTGCTGGATACCTCTGATATTTACTGAGGAACTTATTGAAGCGAAAGCGGCAGAGAGCATTTTGTTAATTTGTAGTTGTGGAAATTGTTATTCAACCAAGGAGTCTAATAAGGTGAAGCATGTCGCTGAATTGTGAAGTCGCTCTGCAGCCACATGCGTTACTCAACCGGTTTGTGCAGAATCTCTCCTTTCGGTTTTTGCCTCTGTTTTTTTGGGGTAATCTCCTGACTCTGTTAAATCCCATTTGCAAATATGATTTACGTGTTTATATGGTGAAATGCCTTGTTGGGTTTAGGGCTTCAGGAGCTGTGTAATTTGTATAGAGGGAGGTCAAACAGAATCATCTTGTTCATATGTGCTGGTCTTGTTACGTACCCGAAAATATTTGTATCGGATTAAATAAATTCATGGCTGTACAGATGTTTATATTATCTCTCATTTGCTTGTACAAATTTATGTGCCTGCACGAAAATTCTGGTGTACTTGGTTAATTTTATGCACCGAGATCTTGATCATTGGATTCTTGACTAAATATTTGACCGGAAACCCGTGCCGGGTGTGATTCTCATAGAGTGCTGGTGTAAGTAGGTGTAACTAAAGTCTGGTTTGGTACTGATGTGATTCTGAAAAAAGCTAGTATAAAAAAAAATTGGGAACTGTTTTTGTGTTTGGTAAACATTCAACTTCAACTTTTTTTTTCACAGTTTTGGATGAAAAAAAGTCAAAAACAAAAAGTTGCAAAACCCAGCTCTGAAAAACCGGCTTTTTTTTCACATCTGTTTTACATAAAAGTTTACCAAATACTATAATACTATTTTTTTTTTTCAAAAGCACTTTTACAAAAAAATTTACCAAACATTCTACTGCTTTATTTCACAGCTGCTTATTCTCATAGCACAGCAGAAGTAGTTTTTTTTCAAAACACAACAAAACCAAACCAGCCCTGACTCTGAGCACGATTCATTTGGAGCAGAAAATGCATGTTTTGTGGCCCGAGCACAATAATACATTTAAATCGAACAATGCATCATATTCGTGTGACATGACATGCTTAATGTGTCGTGCCAACACGAGGGAGACAAACTTAACTAGCTTCAATCCGAAGGCCAAAAATAAACACGGGCGTGTAGAGGGAGATAATTGGTGTGTTTGTGAACATATTTTAAAGCTGAATTACAACAGGAGAAGTTGTAATGTCATATCAGAAATCTCAGATACCAAACACTGAATGTAAGTCATGTGTCATGACTCATTAGCAGAATAAAAGGTTAAACTCGCCTTCTTATATCGCAGAGCTTGGCCGGTAGAACAATGCTGTCATAAATTATTCAAGTTGTCTAACTATTTTACTCTCTTCAAGTCTGTAGAGCATCAGCAATGGAACCTGCAAGACTTAACACCTCGAAGGGAGCTTTATTAGCAACGGCTTTGACGGTAAGCGGGCAGGAATCCGTGATCCAAAAGTACGCAAATGCCGTCTCCAAGCCATCTGAAAATCCAATCAAAATCGCAAATAAGGAATTGAGGACTGCGGAAATTACAAAGACGACATATACAACAGCATGGAGGTACTTACCATCCTTGTGAGTGAACCTCTCCCATGAGCATTTAGGAAATACACCATGGGTTACATAAGCGCTAACCTTGGCTGCACCATGAGCTGCCAAAACTTTCTGCCAGAATGCAGAAGGCGCAAAAGGAATGATTAAGGCAAATTTGAAGCTCCGAAAGCATTACATAAACGCTTGAAATGTTTCTGACGTACACATGACAATAACAGATACAAGGGTACGAGATGTGATCACAAATAATTTAGAAATAACAAAGCAATGTGCAAGATACACAATCTAGTTCAAGCTCGACAAAGTAAAGCTAGCCATATTCTGGTAACTGAGAATTGCAATGTGAAAGAACTTAAACTTGTCAAAATTCGGAAGCAACAGATTCAAAAGTACATAAAATGCAGGGAAGAAAAATGTTTATGAGTAGGGGTCACCCCTTGAAAAAAATTACCTGGCACTCAATTAGGGTGCTGCCAGATTGCACTAAGTCATCGACAATGACTACATGACAACCAGCAGGATTTCCCTCTTTTATCCGAACTATCCTCTTGTCACCTTCACGAACCTTATTGCACACCACCTGCAATTAAACATCATCTGATTCACAAAGGTGACATTTGAAATAAAATTATAGAAAATAATCTCACTTCAGAGAACAGCTCAGACTAACCATGGGAAAATGATCCAACTGCTTGTGGAATCGCTTCCATGCTCCATCATCGGGAAATGCAACAACTATCTGGAAGGGGACCATAATTAGAATGGAAAAAAATATATACAGCCAGGTAGCCAGAATTCCTAGACAACGCATGGAAACCAAAAAAAGTTACTGCAAGACACCATTGTGAGACACATGGAAGATTATGCAGCACACTCACCTTATCGGAGTCAGAAAGCTGGTGGAGACGCTGCTTTAACAGTGGAATTCCAGTCTCAAACAAAGGCAAAACATGATCACCAAAATAAAACCTTTCCTGCATAAAAGTTGAACTGAAGTAATTAACACAAATATTCAGCCGAAAAATTGATGACAAGCGATAATTTACAGTTCCACCTCACTACATTACACTTTAATGAAAAGGAGATTAGACTGACCATATGTACAAGTTATTAAATATATGTGTACAAAGTAACTTGATAGAAGAATTTATGCCAGAAATTTTTAAAAGAGTGACCAGTTTAATTATATTAAAAATTAAAAAGCTCGTGCATGAGGACAAGGGAAAAAGAAACAACCAGCATAACTAAACAAACCTGTAAAGCATGGATGTCATAGATGACTAAACTGGTTGGGCCACCCCTGGATATGGGAATATTTGACAACATTCTCGCCATAGTAAACGCAGTTGCTACGTCCCCTTCTTCTTCCATTCTTTCAAAGGAACCAGTAGGAAAGAAAGGCAATACTAATGTGAAGGACGCAACAAACAGCCGGGGCAGTGCATATATTACAGAAAGCTGCTCAAATATAACTCCTTGGGAGCTGAAGGATGCCAGAAAGGCAACATGTTGGCCTCGAAGATCTTGTGCATTGTTTATAAAAATGTTTGGAAATCCATCATCAAAATTCCTGGATCAATACGATCACAATCAGTATTCCCACTCATCTTACACAATTTATTTGTGTATTACACATGCCATCTGTACAAGCATAACTCAATCGGGTAGTTGAATTTCTGATAAATACTAAACGACATCCCAGATACAAATCTTTTTCTCCATCCCCCTAATTCTGGTTTCAAAGATTCTATATTTTCAATACCCTTCACCAACCAATTTACCCAGCATTCAAGTTATCCACTTTCCCAAACTCTTATATGCAGAAGCATTACAGAAGAACAAAAGCTTGGTTCTTTTGGTTTTATTCTGTTAACATTAATTGTACCACTACCTTCAGAAAACTAAACAGATGCAGAAGAAAATTATCCAACTTTTATTTTCATTAAATTAGCTGAAATAACGAGTACCCATCTCAAATTCATCATTAATAAACAAAATGAATCAGATTTAATAACATGGGTAGTCAAGCAAGCTATCAAGCAGAATAAATAAAGGGAAAAAATAGCATGAGAAAACATGTTAGAGAGAAAGAGAGAGAGGACCTCCATTTGATGGTCTGGAGGATGATGTGGTCGGACTGAGAAGCGACCTGGCGAGCAAGGTCTTCGCACTCGGCGCAGTAGAAGAGATAGAGCTGCTTCTGCTGTGACTTGTCCATGGCCGCCTATCTTCCAAAAGAAAAGAAGTTACAGAACCCAGACATAGACAGAGGGTTTTAGGGAGATTGTGAGAGTTGCAATGACTTGTTTGGCTACTCAAGGGTAATTTCCACCTTACTTCCTCCAGATTTTGCCAAAATTACATTTTTACTACACTCTTTTTTTCGTCTCACTTTATTTTTCTTTTTAACAAACAATATTGTCTAAACTAAAGGGGAAAGACGTGCACTTAGCCTCATAACAGACTAACAATAATATGGTTCAAATTCTTCTATGACGAGAATCGAATATAAGATCTCCTCACTTATAAGTGAAGAGGAATATCACTAGATATTTCATACTTAAAACTAGATATTTCATACTTAAAATTTGATTTTTCTTCCACTTTTATACTTCCGTTAGCCTAGCTGTTAACTTTTCTGTTAACTGATGATGTGACAAGATCTTTAGTCCATTAATTTGTTACTACTCTAAGTATCGTCAATTCATACTTGCTATCCTTAGATTTTTCGTCTCACCTTTATACTTAAAGTTACGTTTTGCTCCCAGATTTATATTTTCGTTAGCATGGGCGTCAGAGGAAAGCGTGACGTGGTGATTGCATGGACGATGACTGTGCAAAAATGTGGCATTGTAGGCCAATCGCAATGTCTCGCTTTGACCGGACGATGACTGCACTGAAGCGTAGTACTGTGAGCTCTGCAAGGTGTACAAGATGTTTCAAGGGAAGATTTTAAAATAAGTTTCTGCCAAATTAAACTTTCTCAAAAACTTGAGAGTTGCATATGCTGCCACATGGACAAAACCCAATTCTTGCAAAAATTTTTAATTGTTTCATATGTCCATGTGGGGCCACAGTGCCACGTTTTTGTACAATCATCGTTCAGTCAAGCATCACGTCACACTTTAATAGAGCCCCACATGCCCATACTAACAGAAATATGAATATGAGAGCAAAACGTAACTTGAGGTATGAAAGTGAGATAAAAAAAAAATAACTAAGGGTAACAAAGTGCGAATTTTATGATACTTAAGAGTAGTAAAGTGAGGATTAGTGGGCCTAGGTCCTGCCACATCATCTTCATCAGTTAACAGAAAAGTTAACGACTAGGGAAACAGAAGTATCAAATTGGCAGAAAAATCAAACTTTAAGTGTGAAAGTGAGAAGAAAGCAATTAAGTGTAGTAAAGTGCAATTTTGATAAAATTTGAGCGTAGAAAAGTAGAACTTGCCCTTTTTTTTTAATTTTATTTAATTTTTGGTCCAACTTTAAAAGCCAATTTTGCCAGTTTTTAATGCCCTATCTCCATCAATGATCAACCGCTATATCCCCACATTCCTTCCACCAAAGAAAAAGTTAATTACAAATTTTCAATATAAAGAAAAAGTTAATTACAATAATTAAAAACATATTTAATAGTTTTTTAAAAAAGAAATTTAATAATTTTTTATTAACACTTTAAAAAAATAATTTTGCACTCTAAATATTTTAATTAAAAAATACACTTATTAGGAGTACATAATAACTTTCTTGAAGTGCTAATAAGATCACATTTTTTTTTATAGCAAAATGTTCCACATTTTGTCTTACAATTCCACATATAGTTTTTTTTTTTTTTTTTTCCCCACAAGGTATCGTGATGTTTTTCTATGGGATCACGGGTCTTTTTATTAGCTCCTATTTGTGGTGCACAATTTCGTGGAATGTAGGTTACATATTTGCTAATTATGAGTTGGGCGCTTTAACTATTCAGCCATGGATGCTTAGTGAAGATCCTCGTACATGGTGAATAACCAAATTCCAATTGAAATGAAATCTTTATGATCTTTTTAGGTAAATTACATTTTACCTCCTCATGTTTCGATACAATTACAACCTCATACAATATTTTTTTAAACATTTCAATTTCATACATTTAGTATTATTTTATTTCAATTTCATACAACTGTTACAAAGTTTGTTAAATTAATCATTAAGTGATGACATAACAAATATGAGATCCTCATTTGTGATGATTGGCTGCCATATTTGTGTCACTTGACTAAACACTTAATAAAAAATTTAGAATATTAAAATAATTAATTAAAGAAAAGTAATAAAAAAAAAACCAAAAATCCCCTTCGTCTTCCCCACCCAAGCCCACCCCCTTCTCCCACCCCCACCCCCCCCCCAACCCCCGCCCCATCACCCACCCCTTCCCCCATTAATTCTACACCTCCATCCCAAAATTCCAAATTCCCCTTCATCTTCCCCACCCGAGCCCAACCCCTTCTCCCATCCCCCATTAATTTTGAACTCCTCAAACCCAAAATTTGCAACAAATTACTCACACAATGAAGACTTTCTTCAACTCACGCATGGGTTAGCAGCGGGTTCGGATCTAGGTGGAACCAGATTTGAGTTATTCGGCTTGTGAGTCGAGCTGGCAGGTCCAAATCAGGCAATGGTGACATCAAGGTTCTACTGTGATGTCGGTGCGAGACTTCAGCGCTCCAGCTCCATCAAATTCTTAAAGGTAGCCGAGAGTTTTGTGCACAGCGACGCTTTCGTCAGGGTTCTGGTTCGTTTGACCAGTGCACATTCATTCGTCTGGGTCTCGTCGGGGTCTTGGTTATTGTCGACAAGGGCGTCTATGAGAACCCTAGTGAGGAATTTGGAATTTTGGGTTAGATGGAAGTGCAGGATTAATGGGGGAAAGGGTGAGTGATGGGGGATGAGAGAAGGGGGTGGGCTCCGGTGGGGAAGACGAAATGGATTTTTGGTTTTTTTTTTTTCTTTAATTAATTATTGTAATATTCTAAATTTTTTATTAAGTGTTTAACCACGTGACACAAATGTGGCAGCCACGTCAACACAAATGAGGACCTCATATTTGCCATATCATCGCTTAACGGTTAATTTAACAAATTTTGTAATGGTTGTATGAAATTGAAATAAAATAATAGTAAATGTATGAAATTGAAATGTTTTAAAGATGTTGGATGAGGTTGCAATTGCACCAAAACCTGAGGGGGTAGAATGTAATTTACTTTTTTTTTTTATTATTAAAACAAACCTATATAATGTGTACATCAAAAACTTACCTAGCCTCAAGAGAAAAAACCAAAGCCTCAATCCTTATCCCTCTCATCGTTTCTAGTTTTTATTAAGGATACAACTTGGGTGGGGCCAACTTGAATCTCTCCATTCTCAACCAATTTTAAACTCAATAGGTTGAGTTAGAATGAACGGGACAACTTGAATCCGCCCATTCCGAACCGACTTTAAACCTAACCAGCTGAGTTAGAATGAACTAAGAACCCACCCCAACCCAATTCGATATTTTATTGGGTTGTGTTCAGGCAATACCTTGTCTGCCCATGTCAACCCAAACACAACGTGATTCTGGTCCGTATTCGCTAATGCATACAATACCAATCTCACTTCATTTTATTTTTGTGATGACTATACTTGACTTTGTTAATGGTTTTCATGTGGATAATGAATGATATTGTTTAGTATTTTAATTTCAACTTCGCATGGTTTAAAGTCTCCTCTCTATTTGGTTTAACTTTTGTGTGGAGGCCATGTGTAAAATGAAATTTTAACTAGTATTGACGTTATTTGTTACAAACTTTAAAAATCTTGCAAAATAAGATGTTACAAGATTGCATTCGACAGAGTTCGTCAAACCTGAATCCAATCCGAACAAGCTTGAACCCAATTAAAACTCGAACCCAACCCAAATCCGATTTGTAAAAGTTAAGTTAGGGTTGTGTTGATCATCCAACCCACCCGAGTTACACCCTTAGTTTTCATAGTAGCAAATAATAAGTCCATTGGGGTGGCATAAAACTGAGCTATGTTCAGCTTTCAGTACCCAATCACCTCTATTTTGCTCATCCTTCATTCCAATCCTTCCCCAATGCATTTTCTAAATTTTATGTTTTCTCTAAATTTATTTCTACTGCTGATTTGGATTTTTGTGTGATTTACCCATTTATTTTGGCCAATTTTGTTTTATGATGACTCCTAGTCACTATTTGTCACTCGTTTCCGGTATTATGTGCATTTGGATCATTGAAGATTGACTCTTCCTCAGATATTTTCTTTGTTCTACTAGTTCTTCATGGCTGGATAAGGTGGGTTCTATGGCAGTGCGACTTCGATTATTCTATTCGTGGTGATAGTTATATGATTTAGGGTTATTAATTCATTTACGGTTTTAGTTATTTTAGGTTATGTGAGCTCGGATGTGGGTTATGCTTGATTTTGGTGTTATAGATTTTTTTAGTTGTTAGTTTATCTTTTAAAATTGTTTTTATAATTATGTTAAAATTTGTATTTTATACGGTTTTGAAATTTATTAAATTTTTTTATATAAATGCCATTATTTCTTCCAAAAAAAACTATAAAAAATATGTATAGAAAATTTTCACCATCAGAACTTATGCAGAGGACAAACCAAACATAGTAATATGATATTGGCATCCATCCTATTCGATCTTGTATTCTTGTGGAACACTACTTCGCTCTTGCATACCAAGAGGTATTTCTTCTTTAACTGCAAATAACAATTTGACACACATAAACATATATATTAAAAACAATTTAAGGTTCATTTGAAAAGTGTTTTTAAATGATTAAAAGTATTTTTAGAGAAAATGTTTTTGGAACCAATCTTTAATAAAATGCAAGTTAATCCTGTGAAAGCACTTGAAGTGCTTCTTATAAGAAGCACACAACTGGTACTTGTTGCAGGAATCAATTTAATTCGGAAACCTAAAAATATTTTCTCTAAAAACGCTTTCGATTTTTCAAAAGCACTTTCCAAACATGTCCTTAGTGAGTGATTTTATGCCTCTCGACCATTATTAGAATTTCACGTGTAATTGATATTGGCATCATCCTTTTTGATCCTGTATGTATTTTTAACGGACAAAGCGTTTGTGGTGGATTTCAATCTACCATGAACATCCATCGTGGTAGATAAACTTTTGTCTTCTAATGAATGCTACTTGCTCTTCCATTTAAATACAATTTGACACATATGGACATATATCATTAAAACAAAATTTATTTATTTATTTAAACATGTGAAATTC